TTTTCATAGCTATTACAATATCCCTCTATAGATGCATTGCTAGACTTTCCATACAATTGCAACATTACATTACCCACACCTCCCAGCAGATGGTGCTGTAGCTCTGAGCTAGTGAGCCTCATTTATTTTCAAATGTCTTATAGGGAGCTATTTTTTGTTTTGATTTATTTCTGAATTTATTACTGTTTCAGTATTTCACATATAAATTGAAAATTATATAAAACATTTTTTTTTGCTTGTAGTGCCTGTTTCCTTCAATAGATGACAAAATCTAAATAGACAGCTGTCCAGTTAGTACAGATGAATAAAGAATGACTTGCTACATCATACATATTGTGGCTATCCAAAGAAAAACATCTCCTTTTTTCATTTTATTTTCCTTCATCATTTGAACACAACAGCTGTAAATTATATTGTGCGAAAAGACCAATAGAAATGCTCCAAAATTGGTTGAATTAAAATGTTTTTACATTAACTTACATTGAAAGCAACGTTTTTCGCCCTCTCCTGTAAGGTTACTATTGTGGAGATACTTGTTTTTCTTTGGACAGTGACAAAATGCCTGTACGTTTGTAAAGTAATAGGTATATACAGATTATTAAAGAGGTATTTGAAGTTTATTTCAGATAACTTAAAGCAATAACAGTAGTAGCATCTCCAGCATAGTTCTTGTCATAATTATCATCACCGAAGTCCTAAAGTCATAAAGCATGATGTAAAACAATTTACAGTGAACATCATTCCCTTTAAGGCAGATGCGTCTATTTCAGAAGGCAGAAGTGTCTATTTCATCTGCTCTTTTATATACATAATTCAGTTTCTGAATGCTGTTATTGTGTTTATCTGAGTTTATTCAATTTGTGTCACAAACTACCATTTAGAACAAGAAAACTGATGAAAAGGAATGTTAGTTACACATCAGTGGCACTTTACCTTTACTCTGAATAAACAAACCAGTAATAAGCTTTTTTCGACATAATTTGAAAAGGCCTGTTGGCCTTTACATTATGTGTAAATGTCATGATGAATGGACAAAAAGAACTGGCCCAAAATTACTAGGGAAAAATTCTGGTTCCACTGACTTACATTAAAAGTAAAGTAGGTTTTTTCTTTCTCCTGTAAAGTTATAATTTTAGAGATACAAGGTTTTGTTCCGACAGCAGCGTTATACTGATGTGAATTCTGTTCTGAATGGGCTCAGCCGCTCACTCAGTAAAACACACAGTGCATCCAACCAGAAAAGAAGCCTCTGGCATGTTTTACAGTCATACAAAACACTGTAGCACACAGAAAGCTCTGATTCTACATGATGAAACTGAATAAAATGATTTTACTGTTTACAATTGTATTGTTAAGATATAAACAAAATCATTCAGAGGAGTTTGATGTAAAATGTAACATTCTAGAGAAACATACAGAGGCAGAATCTTGCACAATGGTGGTGATGGGAACCAGACGTCTAAAGTGTTTACTGCCTCTAAAAGCTACATCACAGGAAGTTACAAATGGTTACAAATATGTTGCCTAATGGTTGAGACATTGTTTTACAACAGATTTAGATAAGCATTTGGCCTAAATAAGCACAGATGACTAAATGCTGACTTACTACATACCAGATGTGCCTATAAATTGGTAAAGTGAAAGATATGAAAGATATTTTTTTTTTCCCAAATTTCCCCCAATTTTGATCATATCCAATTCCACCCACTATTTAGGATTCCCCCAATCACACAATATCACCAGAGCTAGGAGGGCAAAAGCTCACACAGGCTTCCTCCAAGTCAAGTGAAGCACCACTGCATCTTTTCAAACTGCTGCTAACTCAACGTCATTGGACAGCTTAACACGCTCGGAGGAGAACGCTAACCGCCTGTTTTGTTATGTCAGCTAACAGACACCTGCGCTGTCTGGGTAGTGGGTAGAGGGGGGGCCCTTCTTACCCACCCAAGGAAAGCGAGGCCAATTGGACTCCCAGCCACAGATGGCTGTAGCATCATCGGGGATTAAACTTGCAATTACAACGGCAAAGCTGGCAGTCCACTGGCTTCTTGTTTAGCGTTACCCGGGCGGCCCAGTGGTGGTTAGGAAGAGTATTAGACAAAATGCCCTTTTCATCGCTCTTTTTCCCCCTACAGTCCAAATTGCTATTTTTTCCTTAATTTTTTTAAAACACATTTTAGTAAATAAAATCTAACACATTGTCAGCAACATTTTCAGCAAGATCATTTTGTATTAGGCCTGGTGATTAATTTTTTTTTCATTTTTTGGTAATATTTGTCTTTCCAAAATAAAACACTGTGTGCATTTTAAAATCTGTTTGAGAAGATTAAAAGCTAGCTTGAACCTGTACGCAGGACAACAATCTGGGTGGTCCTAGAGTGGACCAGCATACAGTCAACGGGGTGCCGACCTTATCAATCAGTGGACCGATATATGCTTGCTATGTGGCTATTAGCATGTCACCAGGATGATTCTTGTCATAATTATCAATTCTGAACTCTTATTCTGACTTAAAGCACATACTTAAATCATAATGTAAAATATTTTACAGTTAACTTGCTTGCTGTAGGCATTGCTTACAGATTAATTCATTTGTTTAATGTTTGTTTGCTTGAAGGGCAATTCCACTGACTTTCAAAAAAATCTTCATAATTCTGTAATTAAGATGTGAAGTCTTTTAGCGTGGTGTGATGTGAAATGTGATATTCTAAAGAAACATAAAGAGACAGACATTTACACAGTGGTGGTGATGGGGACCAGACCTTTGAAGTGTTTACTGCCTCTAAAAGCCAGATAATAGGAAGTTATTACACAAAATCGTTACACATATGTTGGCTAATGCTTGAGACAGTGTTTTCAATTACGTAAGATTTTGGCCTAAATAAGTAATGATGAATAAATAATGCCTTGCTACATACCAGCTGTGCCTGTAAGTCTGTTAAGTAATAGTTACAGATTATTTGAATTTCATGTTCTGCATAGCACAAAGAAAATTTAAACAACACTAGTAGCAATAAAATGTTAAATCATCACAACTTATCATAGTCTTATTCTGATGTATAGCATATTCATAAAGCATGATGTAAAACAGATTACTGTTGCCAACAATGACATCATCATGGATGCAATATGTGACAAAACAATGCAAGTTCATTTATATAACTCATTTCATACACAAGTGTGATTCAAAGTGCTTTATACTTGCAGTAAAATCAAGATAAAATCAAAATAAACATAATAAGTACAAAAGAATTAAAGTATAAAAATATAAAATACATGTAAAACATGTAAACGAACAAGAGTAAAATAAATAAAAACATGAAGTCTAATAAAACAAAAGAGAGAATGTGGTGCAGTGTGAAGCTCAACCTGGATTAAAAAATATCTAAATTTATTTATGTTCCCATTGATTAAATTGCCCATATTACACACATCCCACACCAGTGCATGCACATATACATATGTTTGAGGACCTCAGGGAAGTAATAAAATACACGAACAATGTAAGATATAAGCCTTTTTAGAGAACCTCTTTCTATTATTCAAGCACCAGTAATATATTTTAGTCCTGAGTTATTTTTATAAAAGTAGCAGCGCTTAAAAATCAATTCTATTAACCAGAAGCCAGTGTAAAGATATTAGAATTGTAGTCATGCATTCTTAGTGTTAGTTAAGACCCCTGCAGCAACATTTACAGTGCACTTCAGCTGTTTAGTATTGTTTATAGGAAGGCCAGTTAGGAGATGTTTGCAATAACAGATGAAATTGGTGATAAAACTGTTTTTCTAAATTTCACTTAGACATGATTCCATTGGTTTTGGGTACAGAAGGCTGATTTAGTGATTGATTTATTATGGCTATAGAAAGTAAGAGGCTAAAGAATGTCCAGTTTTCTGCCATAGTCTTTAGGTTTTAGAGCCCTGGAGTGAAAGCATAACTTGCTGCCAGATAAAATGATCTTTGCCTTGTCCTCATTTATTTGAAGGAAAATTTGCACATCTAATTACTGACTTGCTCCATGCCTCAATACAATGAGTCTACTGGGATACAGTCAATTGATGAGAAAGATAAATAGATTGGTAACACATTATTTGAAGACTTTCTACATATGATCTTCATAACACATGCATATGCACTGAATAACATATTTTCTTGAATATTTATGAACAGCTTAGGTCAGTATTCACGGATGTTTGACAGAGTTTTCCACTCATAACACTGTTCTAAAGCATCATTCTAGGTAATAGAATTAACAAGACAGAGGCCTAACACTATAAATCAGCTCTGTGAAAGATTTTGATGTCCTCACACTGAACTATTTCATACGTATTTTCATGTATCATTTTAGCTTGAGGGCATAATTCATAGAACAGATATATGGCATTCTTAGTTAGGCCTCTGTTCCATTACTTTGGAATGCTATTTATAACAAAGTTGTAAATGCAACGCATGTTGATCATTTTAGTTTAAAGGTGCCGTTTGTAAGATTTGTAGATTAAACCATTCCAACATTAACTAAAATTATCAAGATAATGTGTAGAAATAACAGTTTTGATGATGTCAAAGACGTCTGTGTACTGTGTTGCAGAGATATCTACTGAAGTTAGCATGCTAACCAGCTAGCCCTGTCTCATAATAATACTTTCTAATCACTATCATCACAGCTGCCCATTCCCAGCAAGACACCATGTTCAGCAGCAAAGAAAAGAAGTGACACAAATAGAAGCAAAACAAGAGTTAGCATTGACGTTGCTTTCCACCGCTGGAGACAGCTCTTTGTGTTGAAAAGCAATAAGGTTTGATGCTGAACTCGCAACATTTCTCCTAGACTGGTAAGTAAACAGCTGTTAATGCTAACATTAGCTATTTAGTGGTAGCAATTTTGCAAGGACTGAAGAGGGAGGAAGAGAGACTGTGCATCTCCTTCTTTCTTACAGTATGGGTAGACACCACAATTTTGTGGTGATATGTTGTCTCCTTTCAGAGTCATTCGTTTTGCCTTAGCTAGTCCAGTTGGATTTCTGGGGTTGTTGCTTCTTCATGGCTCCATCACTGCTGGCAGGCAGAATGACCAGTGGAAGTTTAATTTCTGGGTTTTTAGTGAAGGATACATCCAGGATAACCTGCAAAATTAAACAAGAATTGAGTTTCAGGGTGTGTAGGTCAAAGAAACCACTTCAGGCTCCATCTCCACCACATCAAGCATCAGCGAGGTGGCCATGGTCTTTTATCATTCAAGTATTTGTATGTTCTCACATTACTGCAATTTCTGTGTTCGATTGAACCAGGAAATACTGAGGCCTCTTGTTATGGCCCTTTCAATCAATGCTAAACCAATACATCTCTCCTTACGCTCCTAGTATATATCATTAACAGATACCTTCAGCCTGTATTCCACTTTCAGGATGCGGCAGTTGAGGATGGTGGGGGTGACTCTGGAGGGAACAGTCAATATTTTAGACACAGATTGCCTGGTGGAGGAAGATAAAGGAGCCTCCTTTTCCTTCACAATGTTTGTAGTATGCACTGTTCTGTTCCCCTGAGCAAAGAAGCTCTGCTTCTGGTAGATGATATATTTGGGAACAATCTTTCTTGTCGAGCTGTTGACGATTTCCCCTCTGACGACCAAGTTTTCACCTGAACGTGAACATTAACATTTTGTTTTTAGATTCTGGTTCACAGTTAAAACACTTTATCCTAAATCTAGGGAAAATATTTCATATTTCTCATTTTGAGAATAATATTATAAAATCTGTCATTTACATATCTCAGTCTTAAAGACACAATAACGAAAACAGTATGTTGAAGAGATTGTTGTAAGAACATTATACAATTTATTGTAATATATTACAATAAATTAAAAAATACATTCAAAATATTATAAAATTGTAAAATGTACTTATTTATAGACAAGTTCTTGTTTCAAAATCGTCTTATTGCATTGCCGGTCCATACAGTTTTGCTTGATTCAAGCATTATTTCTTGAAATAAGCCAAATTATTTGCCATAAAACATACTTGCACTGGATAAAATGACTTAAAAGAGGTAAAAATTTGAAATATTGGATATTTAGACTCAATTTAAAATATCAGTTTTTGCAGTGAATTACCTTTTCTGATGGATAAATTGAGATGAAACCATTTTCAGTTTAAATTCAGTACTGTATTTTCAGGTATTTTTAATAAGACATTACATTACTCATATGAAAAGCAGCCAATGCTTACTTATAAAAGTGTGGATTTTTGTCCTCCTACCTTGCTGGTAACCTGTCTTCTCCAGGAAGATGTTCATTGTGATCTTCCCAGAGGCAAAGAATATCACATCCCTCTCATTAACTCCATATTGTGGTGACTGAAAGAAAGATTTCCAAGATTTCCAGGCAAATGAAAACTAATCCCATTTTCCTCATAGATATAGAATGCATACACTGCAAAAATGTTTTGTCAGTTTGACTTACAAAAATATATTTTATGTGGTTTTTTTCAAATCAACTAATTCCCTATTGTTATTGATCTATATACTATCGATATGTACAATACATAGTATAAAATCTGTATTGTAAATCTAACTGAGGCTGATAATGCTCATACCATGGATACAGGAAGAAGTGCATCGGGACGTGAAACAAAAGTGAATTTTGTCTTGGCTTTGCTCGGCACTCGCAACGTTCTGCTTAACTGGGTTAACAGGTGATATTCAACTTTGCCAGATTCACCTTTGAAAGATGATGGCATATCACTGAAACAGAGAGATCCACATTGGCACATTCAAATTCTCTGTGCAGAAAGAAATCAAAAGAGATAACTAGGAAAATATAAGGATGACTAGTCATTTTATATTATGTACACACTTCAAAAAGATGGTTCTTCAAGGGTTCATTATTAAAGAAAATGGTTCTATATAGAATCATGAACACTCAAAGAACCCTTTGCATGATTAAAGGGTTCTTTAGATTGATGGACAATGTTCAAACCAAATATGGTTCTATATAGCACCAAAAAGTTTTCTTCTATTGTTGCAGGCTGGACATTGTAGCAGTAGAAGAACGCTTTGTGGTGCTATATAGAACCCTTTTCAAAAAGGTTCTATATAGAATCATCTACAGCACATTCTCCATCAATCTGAAGAACCCTTTAATGATGCAAAGAACCATTTACTCAAAGGGTTCTGTCAGTGTTCATGGTTCTACATAGAACCATTTTCTTTACTAAAGAACACTGAAAGAACCGTCTTTTTAAGTGCGTATACAAGTAAGTAACATTCTCTGGTTTTTAATGAATGATATATAAATCAAAATACAGTCTAATCAGAAAATGTTCATGGTGATGTGAGAAAATAACTCAATTTCATGAAGGCCTGCTGTTGGGAAAAGGAAGATAACTGGAAGGAAACACAAGGGTGACTGGTAAAAATCTTACCCAATGCATCCAAACTGGTTAAAATATTTTATATTTACCTTTTTACATTGTTACATCATGAGCCTGGTCTTATTAAACGTGGCTCATCATATCACATTGTATTTAGAGGACAAAATTCCTGTTTCTATAATCTTCCATCAACATAGAATGACTTTTTGCCAGCCTCTAAAACATCTTCTGATTTTGATTACGTCACTGTGCACCAGTGGGCGGGAAAATAATATTAAGCAGTAATATTATGGTTAACGCCACACCACCCCTGCCTATCACTAATCAAAAACATTCAACTCTTTAAAAAGATGGTGCTTTAAAAGTTCACTAGCAAAGAAAGTGGTTCTATATAGAACCATGACCACTCAAAGAACTCTATGCATGATTAAATGGTTCTATATAGAACCAGTTTCTTTACTAAAGAACCATCTTTTTTAAGAGTGTAGCTCAGAGAACTGTGTCGCAGTATGGTAGGAAGATGCATTATGATCTCCAGTTTACACTGGCCTTAAGAAATGTTGATCAATTTATCAAGTGAAATTCAGTCTAAACAGGCTCATTCAGAGTGTAAAACGAATTAATTTTATTCAGGCATGTTAGAGAGAGAGGAGTCAAGAAGAGAACCTTACTTTAAGGGAAGCTGAACCACAAAAGCAAAAGTGTGTCTCCCACCGCTGAGAGTGAAAGAGCCTAAAAACATGGCGACAAGCAAAGCACAGGCAGAAATACAAAAGTGATGAGAAAACATAAAAAAATCAGTTAATAATCATAAATTCATACTAAAGCTGCATATTATTGTTTTACATCCTCAAGAAAATGTATCAATGCAATTAGCCACTGAACAATCAGCACAGCCTGCAAGATATTTGTTATGATCCATTCACTCAAGGTACTGATACTGAACATAATTAGGTTTGACCTATTTTAGTGAATCTGGATTGACGATATATAAAACAATTTACTATTTATCATATGTGTGTTGAGAGGTAGGTGGTAACTACACTGTTAGAAATAAAGATACTGTGCTGGTACATTTTTCATTCATCAAAGTACAAAAAATGTAAATGTACCCTCAACAGTACAACAGTGGTTTTTAGGTCCAATTGTGTACCTTAAATAAGGTTTTCCCAGTGGAAAAGTACATATTTGTAGCTTTTTATAATCTAATGTTTTAAAACAGAACAATAAAATAAAAAGCCTGGAGACGAGACAGGGTGAGCAAATACGATTGCAGTGGATTATGGGACAATTATAGACCCTGACTAAAGGTATATATACTGAGATATACCTTTGTGGGTACCACCCTCAGTAACAAGAGGGAGTACTGCCCCCAGTGCTCTCACTGTCATATCTTTTTTTCTGAGAGTGTACTTGAGTATGGGTTTAGGCTACTCTACCCACCTCTGCGTATGCTTATAATTAAACCAACCTATAATTGAGGATAAATGTATTAGCTTGTAAGAATGAGGAGGTTTAATCTTATTAGCAGTTGGACTATCGACAGATCTGCACTGATACTGTATGTGCTCATCACTTTAAAATGCAACTAATTTTAGTGAATCTAACTCTAAGAATCATTAAAAATGTGCTATATTACCATCTTTATTCTCTTTGGGTAGGATAGACTCTGTCTGTGAGAAGTACTTCTCGTTATCCCAGTACGTCACTTGTCGGTCTCCGTGAGTTTCCGTCCACGCAACACTGGCTTTCCCTTTTGCCTTGATGGTGAGGGACTTGATGGTGGTTTTCTTTGAGACTTCAACAATAACCTGACCTGCCAAAACATCTCCATTGCTGAAGGTGTTGAGCTCATTTATGGCATTGTACTCAACAGTGAGCTTCATCACTACAAAAACAGAGCTGACGCTTTTGTGTTGTGCCGCAGGTGTGCAGCCTTCTTCAGAGTCGCAGGATGATCATAGGTAAGACCTTTTCACTGACGTCCAATCAAACAGCAGAATGCTAAACTGCAGGTGCCCTCAACTGGGCGTGCCAACAATGATGGAGGCTCGAGTTGCAAAACCACCTAAACAGGTTTCTCTTCTGGAGATAAAACTCCACAACCTCTACAAATGCCAAATCATTAGGATACGCACAGTATCTGAATCACCTGCTGTAATACCTTCCATATCCATATCCAAGAGGAGCACTGGCAGCATTTCATTTCCATTTATTGGCCTGGTTCCATTTTATCTCTCCACCTTTAAAGAATAGTAACCGTGTAAACATCAGCTTTGCTTCAAAAAAGTGGAATGGTGATACTTGTTTTAGCTAGACCATGGAAAGGGTTTAATTTTGATCACTTTGTTACAGACTGTAGTATTAGACCCTTAGTTCAGAGATCTCTGAAGATGGGCCATTTCCCAGACCCAGATGAAGCCTAAGACTGGACTAAAATATTTTCCAATAGTGATTCGTTGCTAAAACTAGGCTTTATCTATACTCCTAAAAAGAGATGGTTATTCAAGGACAGTGGTTCCATATAGAGCCATGAACACTCAAAGAACCATTTGTATGATTAAATGGTTCTTTGCATGGTGAATTTGTTCTTCAGATTGACAGAGAATGTGTTGTATATGGTTCTATATAGAACCATTTTGAGGGTTCTTCTAAAGTTACCAGTTTGACACCTTAACAGTAGAACAACCCTCTTGGATGCTATTTAGAAACATTGGCATTAACCACCAAAAAGGTTCTATATAGAACCATCTACAGCACAATCTCCATCAATCTGATGGCAACCGAGAATGTGTTGTATATGGTTCTGTATAGAACCTTTTTTAAAGAGGGTTCTTCTATTGTTACAAGCTTGACATTGCAAAAGTAGAAGGACCTTTTTGGTGCTATTGTCTTTACTAAAGAACCCCTTAAGAACCATCTTTTTTAAGAGTGTATGTATAGAAAATGACTCTAAAACACTTTTTTTTTATTTCCAAGTACTGTTGTGTAGTTTAGTCCTGTTTATATTCATCACATGTCTGCTGACATATGAAGACCCTGACAAAGAGATCTCACAAAATAGAAGATAAACCAACAAGTGGACATAATGTTTGAAACGCTACATCCATGTGAAGGAGTGCATCAAAAATCTGCTGTCTTTCAGGGTTGTTTTGTCATAAATGCATGACTGATACATTAATGTCAATCACACTGGCAACACAAGATCACTGACATTTGGCGCTGATACTTTGATGAAGCAATCTAATGAGCTAGTCTGCATTTTGCAGGCACAGGAATGATTTTTTCCACTGATGCTATGCGCATGCTTCTAACCACAGGAATGCGTAGAAGCCACAACACGTGCTGTCACGGGACAGCTGACGTACACTGTTGAGCGAACATTTCTGATAAAGGGGGCGCACGACAGGATGTGGTCTTGCTGCTTATTAAAATACTAAAAACATTCTACTGTTAATTATGTTCATTATCAAATCAAAATCTGGTGTAGTTGGCTGTACATAGATTACTTTTCCTAAGCTTTTTAAAAGTAGCAGTGGTTTTAGTGGAGTTTCATGGTGGTGGATATGGGTTGGGTGTTTTTTAATGGAATGATAAATAACTAGTAATAATTTTAATGATAATAAATCTGAAATGGCAATGGTATAAGTGTGAATGTATTGTTAAAGCTACACTATGTAAGATTTGTTTGTTAAAATTGAAATAATTCACATTAGTGAGTGAAGAGGCAAAAATGTGTTATGGTAAAATATGGTGTTCTATCGCTGCTGAGAGTCTCCCTGTAAAGCCTGAAATATTCAAAAGTCAGAGCTGAGAGACGTCTTTATGTATTGACTTCACACACACACTCAAAAAGAAGGTCTGACTCGATATGGGCTGGTTACCCCAGTGGGGGCGCTGCTTACAGTGCTGATCTGTATAGTTCTGAAAGTTAGTGAAAGGAAGGAGAGAGATATTGCTGAATATGGAGACATGGGAATGGCAAACCCTGTCACCCCGTCCCAATTATTCTTTTAATGCTGGTAATATTTTCTGGTGTGGACATTCACCAGCTTCTTGTTAGAATTTTCCCATTCCACCTTAAATGGTGCAGCTGTTACATTTTGGTGCCTGAGGAATTATAATAACTGCTGGACTTAAATTTAAGGTGGAACAAGAAAATAACAAGAAGTAGGTGAATAAGGCGCTGACTTCAGGTTTGTAGTTTTAATAGTGATAAGATGATTTAGGTTCAAAATATTCTACCTAGAATCCTACATTTTATATAGGGAGCTATCTATAAATATAGAAGCTGTTTTAGCTTGTTCCTCCACATACAATATGCAGCTTCTAAAACGGATAGTTCTGGTCCTAAAATCTGATTGGCTGAGCCATGTTCAAAGCCACTGTAAAATACAGGATATGCACACACCTATGACTGCCTTACAACAACTGAATTCTGTATTACTGCACCACAAAAAATCCTTGTGCTGTTAATGGAATAATCTTTAACTCCAACGTTGCTCGCATGGACCAGCAAGTGTACTGATGAAATAAGGACCTAGTTTTAATTTAAACTGAGGGGCTGACAACTTATTTTATCTTAACTTGACCTGAGCTTCTCAGCTTACAGGCTAAAAGATTAACAGTTAACAGGATAAAAAAACTCCATCATTGATATCACAGTACTTACGATGTGAATCACTGTAAAACTTCAATATAAATGTCTGAAGAATGTCACTTGAATGCCACACATGTTTCAAATGTTTGTGTTTATCAGAAGTAGCATCAATCCCAGCTGAATCTCAAACGGCTCTGTACTGACTAAACACTGTGCTATGTAAGTTTTGAATCTTCTACAGCCAAACTCTCTACTATTTCTCAACTATTTTAAGTTGTCTGCTTTGTGTCATGCCTAAGAAAACCTTTCCCTGTGGTAAAATTCCAGTAACGCATGGCTTCTTGTGGCTTATTGATTTAAATCATGTGGCTTGTGATTTATATAATATTTTAATTGAATTCTCATGTAATATTTATGTAGCAGTTGGCAATGTTTTTTCAAGGGAAATTATTTAGACTAGAAAATTTTGTCACATCATTCTATAGATTATGTATTATGTAGATTATGGATTATAGTTCAGATATAGCCATTTGTTTTTAGACAATTTTGTTCCTTTATTCCTTTATAAATCAGAATTGCAGACCAATTATCTAAAGTTCACTATTTTTTTCAATACTGCAACATGGCAAACATCCAAATCTTAGTACTTTAAATTCAATGACATCATATTTTACCTAAACTATTAAAAATAAAGCTGCCAAAATTCTTGGCCTGGGTGTTTCCTGCCTTCTAGCAAATGACCACTGGGATAGGCTCCAGCACCCCACATGACCCCCAGGAGGATAAGCGGCATAGATAATATGTGTATAAGTGTGTGTGTATGTAAGTTCTCTGTAGTTTCACTTAGTTTCACTTAGAAAATCAACAAAGCCTTCCCTTTGTATCTCAAAATCCTAATCCAATTTGAATATTTTGGTATGATTCAGAATTATTTTTATAAATACATTCAGTAAGCAAGTGTTGATCTGACTTATTTATATATTATTGAAATTTAAACAATAAAAAAGTATATATCTTTTTTTTAAAGACAAAAAATGTATTTTACCCCAAAATGTGCATTTTATTATTAGAGTTGATTATAACTAATTCAAGCATTGTGAAAATAGTGCTGTCGAATTGCCATCTTCACGTCAATGCTGCACTACTCCTTAATGCGTTTTTATACTCTCATAAGCTAGTGAGCTACAAAGGTTGTTAGGAACTGTGAACAAGTGCCATATATGCTCTAACTACAGTACTTGACAATAGCTAATGCTATAGTTTTCCTCCACACTACAGTATCGTTCTTTTGAGATGCACTGAGTTTGGGCCTACAGCAGAGAAAACTCTAGTGGCTTAGCTTCTGACTGATCTAAATCTGAAACATGCACTGGGACATGCACTGACCAAACAGGCTTTTCCTTATCTCTTTCTTTGTGCACTGTATTTTTTTTTTCTTTTAAAATGGTTCAGAGGCTTTGGACCTGCAGAGTAGGCCACTGCAGAGCAGCCTCATGTAAAAAATGCGCCAGCATTGCTCTCCAGCTCTGAGCAAAGGATTTTCTCTCATCAATAATACAGAGGCAGTCTTACCTAACACGGTTTGGTTCACTGGACATGAATAAGGCAAAAGTGAAGTGCTTCAGGTGGAGCTGTGCTTAAGGCACTTTCAACATCACAGCAACTTACAGCTTTGTGTGCTATTCAGAAAGCCAGGCTTCTCACGTTGAGCATTTTGTGGTATCTGAGGTGGAATAAGGATAAGAATTGATTAGAACTGCTGAGCTGCTAGAAGCAGGTCTTCTCACAGAAATCAATAATGAATTCAAAATGCAAGCAGTTTTATCCATTACTACCAATTTTAATTGAAATCTGGCTTCTATTTTAACAACACAACACTGTGTTCAGAAACTTAAAGGGGCCTTCAGGTCTCAAACTAGTTTAATATTTTATTTGTCATGTTATGTATTCTGTAGCACAGCATTACGTCCCTTAGCCACATTAGTTTGACAGAATTCAAGATTTTGTTTCTTTTTTATCTTTTTGTCCATCGGTTTCTCTCACTACAATACCCAGCATGCATTAAGCAACCATATTATGCAAACATGCTCATGTCAACCAGTTATGATTGCTAGCCTAGCCATTGATCTTTAGGCTAATAAATCTTTGTTCTGCATAGGGACATGTTTTTTTATAACCATTTCAACCAAGGAAAGAAGCCAAAATGAGGTAAGCTGATGATTACATTTTTTTTTATTTCATTCGCAGTGTCCCTTTAATTTACGCTGTCATATCCTTAATGAAGGATGCTCTCAAAAAGCTTCCCATATTTTTGAATTCTGTCAATGACACACT